GCGCCCTCACTGCTTAGCCATTTTGGCCGGCATCTCTGCGTCCATGCGGCTTGGTGAACGTATTCTCGCTCCTCAGCCTCCATCTCTTTGGAATCTCATGTCCACTCAGTGATCATGTCCATTGAGGGACACATATAATACAGAAACCTCAGACCCCGTGGGCACAAAATCCAGCTTACGGTGACAGCTACATCTACCCATATCCAAAGTTCAGCAACCGTCCAATTTTTCCCCGGACCACCCAAAGCCTAACTATCAACAGAGTCAATGCAATTTTTATAGTCTCTCTATTGCATCTCTTCAATACTCTATAAATGTACAGTTTCTTCTCCAGCTTTACCACAATCTCTATCCTAATGGAGTCCCTCTTCAGTTGCTTGTACAGCTCTAAACTTTTCCTAACTGAATGATTTCTAGATGTTCTCTTTCCAGATAAACCCTCCTGAAAACTGTCCTGTACAAAACAGAAATTGAAATACATCACTCTTTTTTGAGGCTGCCCACTTAATTCTGATTTCTGATATAAGAAATGATCATGAGATACAAGAAACAATATAGAAAAGAGTCAGAAAAATTGTTTCCAGCTTAGAATTTTATGCATGGATTAATGTTCTAGCAAAAGCGTTGGGAAAATATGACTCTCTTTGTTATGCAGTAGATAAGAAAGATCCAACCTCTAAATGAATTAGGCCTGGCCAGATAGCTCAGCAGACTAAAGCGCCTGCTTAGTCATTGCGTAGTGGCCGGGATTCGATTTCCCAGCATGCCGTGCCAGCCCTGCCCCCAGGGTGTGCTGAGGCAGCAATTGAGACTGGGTATGGTGGCCCTCACCTATAATCCCAGCTCTTGGTAGGCTGAAAGCAGGAGAATCACTATGAGTCTGATCTATGTAGTGAGACCCTGTAGACTAAATACAAAAAAAAAAAAAGCAGGTCCAAACTCTAAACGAATTGCAGAAGATTCATTCTATCAAGAAAAATGAAAACATTCCAAATTTAAAATATTACAAAGCACAGATATTGATTGAATGTGTCAATAAATTAATCTTCTATTATGACATAAAAGAATACCGAAGGGTCATTCACTGGGTACAGTACTGCAAAAAAGTTCTTGCTACATTAAGAAAGAAAATAGAATCTCGGAGTGAACTTTGATTCTTTAAGATAATTTACAGTTAAATATGCAGATAGGAGAATTAAGAAAAACCTCTAAAATAGGTCATAGAATCTATAGATTACAAACAGATGTTAAACAAAATAATTTTTGATTAAAAAATTCAGAAAATAATTTTTAAGAAGCAAAAACATAAGGTTGCCAGTAAAATGTTATTAATGATTACAAATACAGTACTACAAAGAATTACAAAAACTCAAACATGAGCTATAGTGTAAATCTTAAATTTCCTGCAGATCTTCAGGTAGAACTTTGTACTCATGGGCAGTGGTGGAAACTTAACAAAGTGGAGTTGGTGAGAGGACTAAGTGACTAGAGGATGCCCTGGAAGGGATCCCAGGGCTTCCTTCCTCTCATTCTCTTTTAATTTTCTGGTCACAAAGTGCATAATTTTGCTTCTCCACCTACTCCTGACACAAACAGCTGCCACAGGCCCAAGTTAACAGAATCAATTGATAGTGGGTTTAAGTCTTTGAAGTTGTGAGTCAAAATAACACTGAAGTTTATTATTTCAGGGATTTATTATAGTGATGAAAGATTTTTTCCCTGTATTTAGGGAAGGGTCTACAGGGTGTTCAGGGTCTCACTACTAGATCGGACTGGAAGTGATCCACCTGTTTACAGCCTCCCAGGGGCTGGGATTGCAGGTGTGCATCACCACGCCCAGTCTCAGTTGCCATCTCAACATGCCCAGGGGGCAGGGCTGGCCTGGCAGGCCCAGGGGTTGAACCCCCAGCCCCTGTGCCTGCTTGCAGGCACTTTAATCTGCTGAGCTATTTGGCCAGCCCTATAGTGATAAACTGTTGACTAATACACCTATTAAAAATTGCCTACTTCTCATAAATTAAAAAAAACTCAGAGTTATGCTACTATCTACAATTTACATACACCATACAGCAAACAGAAGGAGGAAGAAAAGGAGAAGGAGGATAGAGGAGGAGGAGGAAGAAGAAGAAGGAGAAGGAGAAAAGAAGGAGAAGGAGGAAGAGGGAAAGGAGGAGGAAGTGGAGGAGGAAGAAAGAAATTCCAGTAGTAGTACTAATATGAGAAGAAATATTCAGTTTTCATAAACAAATAGGAAACTACATCAATATAAAAAAGAATCACATTCTCAAAACTAATCATATACATTTATGAGTAGAATACACTTAAAATATATAAACTAATATCTAATGGAATTACAGAAAGAAATGTACAGATGCAGTAAAAATTGGTGATCCAGCAGAGAAAGATTAAAAATAATTCAGTAAGTTTTGCACAAGGAGAGTGCACATGAGAATAGCCACCACAGTGCCTAAGGGCGGAGCTCTGAGTTACAGCACCTGCTTAGCCTGCCCTGGGCCCCGAGTTCCATTCCTAGCAAAGATAGATAAGAAAATAATCATGCTGGTCTGGTTTAAAATAGACTATCACTGGAAGCAACATAAATAGTAAGAACAAAAAATAGGACTATATCATACAAAGTATTCTATAAAACAATAACGTAAGTAAACTAGAAATATATAAAAGACAGATAATCTCAAGGACACTGTTGGAGGAGCCTGAAAGTTGCAGAAGTGGATGTGAAGCAGAATACATTTACCTAAACTTTGAAAACATATATGATACTATACATTGCTTATGATTACATTGTACATAAAATGCTTCCAAGTATCCATGGAGGACTGGGACGGCATCTCGGCTCTACACATGTGAGGACCTGGGGTTGATCTCTACCTTAAAATGCCCACAACCCCACACACAATTAAACTAAGATGACTTCAAAATATAATATAAATGGAAATGATCAATAATGAGTCAGATTTGGGAATGGAATCAGGGAGAGCTTCGCAAAAGGTTTTCAGTCCATGTATAATTCAAATATTAACAAAAAGCATGTAATACAGTGGATATGGCAAATCCGGAAGAACTGGCCAAGCAGCTGGATGGGTACTGTGTGTTGATATTTTCCATACATACTATTAAAATGTTTAGGGCCAGCCAAACAGCTCAGCAGATTAAAGTGCCTGCAAGCAGGCACAGGGGCCGGGTTCAATCCTCAAACCTGTGGTGTCAGACCTTCCCCCGGGG